AGCAAGGAGAACATCGAATAACAAAAGAAGTTTGAAAGAAGTTGTTAATTATATGGATATTTTTTCTTTAAATACTATCATTGGTGCTACTTTTCATGCAGACGACTTTTTGGTCTATTTACCTGCAGTTTTTGAAACTATGATACTGTATAATTTGGGATCCGTCCGTGGGGTGTTTTGTGTTATTTTTGCTGCCAAGCGTTGTTTTTCATTTGCATTACCGAAAATGGCGCTAGTTGATTGCTTTAAGCATGCGAATCACTGTCAATCAGATGCTATTGCTGCCGTTTGTGTTATTCTATTTTATGTTCACATAGAATTATAGATGTAGGAGAATGCTTCCTTTATCTTCTGTACAGTGAAACAATTTTCTGAATTGTGCGTTCACTGCAATTTTGCTTTCTTTTGACAACGATACTGTCCAGTAGTCCTTTAGTCCTTTTGCTTTTGACATTTAAAGAAAAGGAAAAAAATTATGCAAATTTCGGTCTCAAAAAGAAGTAAAAAAAGCCTTTGGATACAATAGATGTCTAGCAATTTGATACCAACATCTAATGATGCAAGTACCATTGATATATAATAGCAGGTTAACAGTGATAATGGATACGACGAAAACGAATAATTTGGCGTCAAAAATGTGTTAAAGTTTTACAGGAAACTACGTCAGATAAATGAAGGTATCAAAGCCTTCAACCTGTCGCTTAGGTTTATTTACCAAATCGGTGGATCCATACTAATCAAAGTAATAAAAGAAAATAAATTTTTTTTGTGTGTTGAACGCTAAACACAAACGCTTTTTTTGTACGGAGTGATGAAAGAGGTCTACTGGACTGCTTCGCAAAATCTATTTGATGTTTGCATTGCGGTCTTTAAAATATTTTTAAAACGGTAAGAAAACATGTGAATTTTTTATCAGATTTTTAGTCATTTTTTAAGGTTTTTCCATTTCCTTTTTTATTTTCTTTCTTGCTAAATAAGCCGTTTTTAGTAGAAATGAACCATTTGATGTAGCATATAGCAAGAAATGGGAATAATTTTAATGAATGTTATAATTATGCATCTGTTGTTAATATGCAACAGATTACAGCTGCTCCACTAAAGTAGTAGTCGTCTGTTAATCAAATTTGGGGAAATGATCATTATTCATTTTTAGCAGGACAGAAAAAAAAGTGAAAAGGGATAGATTAGAAGTAACAAATAAAGCAAGAATGAAAGATGAAAAAAGAATTGTTTTTATGGGTTTTTAATTCAGAAAATTGCAATAATAATTTCAATTTAGAATTTACAAATAACCAACTGTAAATCAAAAAAGCACGTCAACATGAGCTTTGATTCGACTACGTCTCTTAGTAGCGTGAGCGTTGGAGTTTTTCCCAAACGCGCATCAACCATAGCAGCTCCGGACGATCATCATGTTCAAACGATCACCGTTTACCTTTACTCTTTCAATCCAGAAACCAATGATCATTGTCTAACAGTTAATTTCCATAAACGAGCTACCACTGAAGAACTAATTGAGAAAGTTCTTCAACAAAAACCAGGTTTATTCTTCAAAAAAAATTTTTGTTCTAATTTTTTGTTTTACTGACTTACAGTGTGCGGTCTAGTTAGCAAAAAAAGCACAAGTAATTTAATTGATTGTTCTTATCTTATTTGTGCACTTCAAGTTCTTTTGGAATTATTTTTCTTTAACTTACAAAAGGTGTTAGAATTTAAAGAGGAAAATATTTAGTGATTTAGATATGATTTTTGACTAATTCATCTAAGATAATCTTAAAGTTTATTTACTTTTTTCTTTTGCATAATTGCTTTCGGACAAATTAAAACAAAATTCTCAGAGGAACAAAAAAAACCGCTTTTTACCTGTTGCTCATTTTCTAAACCCGACTAACTAATTTTTTTTAAAACACATATTACTCTGTTTTAATACTCGTCATCAACCACGCGCAGCATAGTATTCATAGTTTTATCAACTGCAGAATTCTCCGGTAATACTGCTGAGGATTTTGATCTCTATGAAATAATGGGTACTCTGGATGGTCAGATATTCAAAGAAAGAAAATTGGATCGAGGAGAATATCCTGTTGCAGTTCAAATGCTCTGGTCTCGGTCCAGCCAATCTAATGACGAAGAAGCTGCTCCAAAGAATCGATTAGTTTTAAGGTTATCACAGTTTAACTTTAAAACATTTTTATAACACCAATTAAGCGGAGGGTGTTCTGTTATTAAATTTGGTGACGGCTGTGCGACAACATCAGATACAGTGTGATGCTAAACGACTTTTGATGTTTCAGACAGTCTGTTTGCTATAATAACAGTTTTTTGCTCTCAGTTTTTTCCTGCTTTTTGAAAACATCTATAACTATGAAAATGATAGGCATAAGAGTTCTCGTCCTCATACAAGCGGTGTTCGGTTAGGCTCAGCGGAAGCGTCAAGTACCATCGATTCCTTCCTAGCCAAATTTCTTACTCAACCTCAGGTAAATTTTAATAAACTTTCTAGCTTACCTATGATCAAAAGAATTTTTTTCTATTCTAGGCAAATTTTTGAAACTTTTTCAGTTTTCTTCTGTGTTTTTTCGTCGCTTACATTCTTTTAGAAGGGACAAATTGCAAGTTTCTTATGGTGGCAAATTGCCTTCAACAACAATACTCCTTTAGTGGAAAGAGAAAAAAAAGCAAAGAGAAAAAAATTTGCAAGATAAAATTACCTGTCATAAAGCTATGTCAGTTTATTAGATGTAGAGAAGCCGATTTCTGACGTTTTATTCCCATCTATAATTCACTGCCACTGCTGCTGTTAAATTTAGAGTTTTTGGTTTATTTTGGTTGTCACAAAAAATCTATTTATAAAAACATTTTTTAATTTACAAGCGCCAATTTTTTGTTGCAAATTGTTACTTCGTCTGTTCCTAATTATTGTTGATGACCAACTGAAATCTACCGCAATTTAATGTAAAAAAAAAATTTGCTATTGAAGAAATTTTTTTGGTCAAAAAACAATTTTGAGTTAATTTTAAAAGATTTACTGAAATTTCTCATGTTTTTGTATTTATATTTGTTAACTTTGCACGCTGATAAAGTTAGTGGCTAAAAAGTTTTTTTTTTTGAACATTTGTTTTACCGTACGTATTTGCAAAATGACAGTTTATTGCTGAGTGCAGGATCGAGAATATGCAGACCTTTGCATGTTACCGGAACTTACTGAACAAACTTTACTGGATAATTTACGAGATCGGTTCAAAAGTGGTCATATTTATACATACATTGGTCAGTTTTAGTGCTAAAAAACTATAAACACTTCAGTTTTTTAAACTGAAAAAGCATTTTTAGAGTTATAAAATTAAGTCGTTTGAATAAAAACCATTTTTTATGTTTGAAGAATGTGGAACATTTGAAGCACGGTAGAATTTTGTGATTAAAAAAATCTTTTTATAAGAAAAAAAACTTTTGTTTCTTTTTTTTTGTTAAGTTGATATTTCAGGACCAATATTAGTGGCAGTAAATCCGTTTAATTTTTTTCCCATTTATAATCCAAAATATGCTCGACTGTACTGTCAGAGCAGGAGACTTGGAGCACTACCTCCACATATTTTTGCAATTGCTGATGTTACTTATCACAAGTAATTTTTTTTTTTGAAATTTTCGGTTACATTTATAGGCATCCTGTACAATTTGTTGAACAAAGGCTGAATGATTGAGCAAAAACTTTTCTTTCTCTTGTTTTTTTCTTGATAATTCCACGAGCAATATTCATAGCGATAACAATAGTTCTTCAGTATGCTACGGATCAAGGAAAATCAGTGCGTAGTAATTAGCGGTGAATCTGGATCTGGGAAAACAGAATCAACGAATTTTCTATTGCATCATTTGACATCCTTAAGTCAAAAAGGGACAGCTGGTAGCTCTATAGAGCAAACATTATTATCTGCTGGACCAGTTCTTGAAGTATCTCTATTTTATTGTAAAAAACGCCAATTGTATGCCAATAAGTTGGCACTTTTAAATCTATTATAGTTTTAATTTTTCCTCAGTTTCACCTCGTATAAATGAATACAGTGGTTGCATTATGTTTAGGCTTTTGGTAATGCTGTTACCGTACAAAATAATAACAGCAGTAGGTTTGGGAAATTTATTAAAGTAAACTACCGAGAAAACGGCATGGTTTCTGGGTAAGTGATCAGAATACTGTTTCTACTTGCTACCTGTCTAAACATACATGCGAGGTTATGCGGAAAGAGAATGTATCGGGAAAAAGCTCTTAAAAAACAGCAAAAAAACAATGATTTTCGTGTTTTTGTAATTCAAGCAGATTATTATTTGTTCGCATTCTTAAACATTTTAATTTATAACAACAGTTTATGGTAATTTTCACTAGCAATATTTTTAAATCACTCCTTTATAGAGCTGATGTTGAAATCTATCTATTGGAAAAATCACGTATTATATCGCAGGCTGCTGATGAGAGGTAAAATTTTCATTATTACTTTTTTTACACATAACGATATTGTGATACTTCAAAACTTTTTTGCGAAACTGATGGGTTATTTGATCAGATTTCAAATACTTAAAACAATCATATAAGCATAAAATTTACTGCTTATTTGTGTCTACTAATAATTAATGTTAATATTTTTGCATTTATATGTCTATCTATAACAAGCCGAATACCCACTATGTTTTTGTTATCATCATCAAAACAACGATAAAAAAAAAAGAAAAAATGTTTTTTTACAGGAACTACCATGTTTTTTACTACTTATTAGAAGGTGCTACTGATGATGAAAAAAAGCAACATTTTTTGCTGCAACCAAGCGATTATTCTTACCTCAATCAGGTGAAATAAGTTTACACTTTTGTTGCATCTACTCAACAAGCAGTTAACAATACTGTCCCAAATTTTGGTGGTCTGACACTGTCGTAGAGCTATCAAAAAGATAAAAGGTCGAATACGATAAGGCACTACAACAGTGAATTTAATTGAAATTTAACTTCTTAAGCTAAAAAAATTGTAGTACAGATTACAGCCTAACAATAAGAATTTTATTGTTGCAGCCAAACCGTTACCGCAACTTAAACCAGGTTACCTGATTTTTCAAAATCTATGCACTTTACTCTGTTACTGGATTGCTCTC